CTCTTTACTCTTAATCTCCGTAGTTTAGTTTTATATCCATATTATTAAATTGTTACTTGATAATTTAGATTGCTTAAATTAATTAGGAATAGAAAGACCAGTTTCCCTGTGGATTCGACCCTACTTCTCTATCTACATTAGTTAGAGGATTTAGGAATTAATTTTGATTAGGTGATACGACTTTAGCACCTATAAATTGAGTGTTGAATTCAGTGTGAAGTTGAGATGATGATGTCATAAATAATCTTTAGATCTAGGGTAGGTCATCGGTAATGCGTTGGTCTTGTACTTCAATTTCAATTCAATTGCAATGATAACTCGTTGATAGGTCATTATTAAAACCATAGCAAAGATAATTATCGTCCCGTTAAAATTTAGGTGATCGGTACTTATCATCGATAGATCATTATTAAAATTTCACAGGACCCGTACATATCACATGATTGTAAATATTCATAATACACATAGTTATCATCGATAGATCATTATTGAAACTGACTACGGTAGGTTATCATTATTGAAAAGCGACAATATATATATGTTTTGATGTAAAATCGCAAATTTAATAAGTTCAGTAATCTTAAGATCTAGGGTAGGTCATCGGTAATGCGTTGGTCCTCTACTTCAATTTCAATTCGATTGCAATGAGAACTCGTCGATAGGTCATACAAAGATAATATAATTATCGTCTCGTTAAAATTTATGTGACCGATACTTATCATCGATAGATCATTATTAAAATTTCAAAAAACCCGTACATATCACATGATTGTAAATATTGATAATATAGATAGTTATCATCGATAGATCATTATTGAAATTGACTAGTTATGAAAAGCGACATTATTCATACGGTTTGATGTAAAATCGCAAATTTAATAGGTTTAAGAATGCTTACTTTTGATTATTAAAGTTATTTAGAATTAAATTAATTTAGAGTATATGATTAATCCTTTTTTTTTACTCCAATTAATCTAAAAACTTTATGATTAATCCTTTGTATTCTACATTTTATGGTTAATAAATGAGAAATTGCTACAGATGCCAAAATATGACAAGTGTTAAGTGGTAATTTGGTTAGAAGCCAAGGTATGTTGTTCATTTATTTTGCTATATATAAACCACCTTTCTTCTTCTTCTTTGTCTAGACCTTTCACTTAAATAAACTAATTATAAAATTTACAAACATGACACCATCCAAGAAACATTCCCGCCTCACTTTGCCTTCGATAACTTGCGAAGTTGAGTCTTCAGGTAGCCAGCCGCAAGCCCTCCCTCTTACACTGCCTACGCTTACCTCCCAAGCGCAGCAACAATCTTCTGTACCTCTACCTCTCCGAGCACCTCTGAATAAAAGTAGGTCCAGAAGAAGACGACCTCGTCGGATACGGATTGCTGCTGGCTTACCTGCTTTACGACCGAGAATTCGCTTCATCGGCAGGGAGGAATCTCTGCGGCTCCCACGAGCGTTCATGATTCCTAGCTTTGCACAAACACTATCTCGTCGAATGAATGTTGATACTACGGGTATCCCTGTTGAAACTGATATGCGGTTCTACAATGGGGATGTCGATACTACTGACTATGATGATGAACCTAATATCAGGGAACCCGCGCCTGATATTGATATGGACCTTCTTGAGCATCCAAATATTGAAGAAGAAGTTCCACGACATTCAACATTGGTGAAGAGCGAAGAACCAGGTGATCTTGGAGTTATGTATGAGATTGCTGATAATGAAACCTTCATGGGAATCTACAGAGACTACTCATCAAAGATAGACGTTGGACCTCATCAAATTAACTTGTTCAAGCTGGGTAACCATATTGCGCGCCATGCTACACCGGCAACTGCGGGTGTTCAGACTGGGGATGTGTTGTTGGTCCATGGACTGGTATTTCTAATTATTTTGTTTTTATTTTATTTTATTATGTTTTGTTTAAATTAATTATCCCAAAATTGCACTTAGCTACATTTTTATTATATTTTGTATTAATAAATTAAGTCAAAATTGCACTAAGCTCCATTTTATTAAATTTTTTTTTCGACCTAACTATATATACGATCATGAATGGAATGAAGACTTTGTTTTATTTTTCAGCAAATAACTTTATATTAAAAATTTTCGGGAATTCCCATAATTTTATATCATTTACATTTCATGGCTGAAGCATTTTGATAAGTAGACTTTTTTTGGCAGTGGGCCTAAGTTGATGGGCGAATCACATTTCTAGGATGGTGAAAGCCCAAAAGTTATACCCTTTTGAAAATAATACAAAATTCTCCTTTTGATTTTCAAAATTCTCCTCTGCAATTTTTTGTTTTTTTTTTCAATCAATTAAGTCAACATTGCAGTAAGCTTTACACGTATTTTATATGACCAGGTGGGCGTAGTCAACCTTGATACAAGAATCAAAAAGTTTTGGATTGTTGATATATCAAGGGATCCTACTGAACAGAGGGTGAAAGGTCGTATCCACACTTCCATGAATCGAGTGTTCTTCGTGTGGGCAAACAAGATTGGAGCTGACCCATCAAACATCACACTTATGCATGAGAGGAAGTACTTAAAGCCAAGCCACACCGTGAGCGATGCCAGGATTCGTAACAATGATATGGTGGCGGCTTTCAACAATGCTTACTAAGTTGGATGCGGACTAGGTCCACCCTTTTGGAAGTGTTAAGGCAAATGTGAACCTCGAGTATCATGGACTCCATTGATATCCACCTTCTTTTGTTGTATTAAATGGTAGGTAGTATCCTTGTAGGTTTGAAGTTGATTAGATGATTTGTAGTCTGATGTTAGTACACCCATATGTGTTAGTAGTCAACTTTTGGTTAATTTGGATATGAACTTTTATAACATATTATGATGTAGATGGGATGTTACTCTTTATTTTGGTAACTTTTCCTTTTGTGATTGGTATTATTTTGATTTTGTTTCAATTATTTTGAATGTTGGTGTTAATATTTTCATTTACATTTTAAAATTTTAAATGGAATTACTTAATTATGGAGTAACACAATTGATATAAATTAAACCCCCAGAATTTGAAATAAGTACACATCATATTTTTGTGGTACTTTATTTCATTATGTAATTGATCTCGTTAGAATTTGAAATAATCGTTTAAAATAGTTAAGGGTAATAGTTGAGTTCCAGTTAATATGATTAGTTAGAGTACACATCATATTATTTTACCATATTCGTTAATATGGTTAGTTTGAGTACCGGTTAATATGGAATGTTTGAGTACATGTACATCATAATTTTGTAGCATATTCTTCATTTAATTGATCTCAAACTAATTTTGGTACTAATTTTGGTAGTATATTTATTACTTAAATGATCTCGGAAGGAATTTAAATAATCATATACAATATTTATGGATAAAAGTTGGGCCTTTTGCCATTTGGCTAATCTGGTGAAACGAGTTTAAAAGCTATTTGGCCCATTATGATTTAGGCATTTGGCTAATCTAGTGAAATGGGTGTAAAAGCTATTTGGCCCATATTAAAAAATGGTCCATATTTAAACATATCAATTTAAATACAGTCCATACTTAAATACAACCCATATTGAAACAAATGGGTCTAAAATGGGTGTAAAAGCTATTTTGCCCATATTAAAAAGTATATATTTAAAAAACATGACAATTTAAATATAGTCTATACTTAAATACAACCCATATTTAAACAAATAGGTCTAAAATGATGAACAATCCATAGTAGTCCAAAATGTTGGGAAATCATTTTGCCCATTACAATGGATATATAAGCCCATTACAATTACACAATAGCCCATTACAATTAAACACCCCATATGGCCACCGCATCAGAACTCAAATGAATGGGTTGGAGATGACACATCAATCACACGTTTATATCGTTTCCTTTTCACGACAGTATCTCCATCCTTTGTTACGCGCTTCCTGTTTCCATTAATGGCTGTAGCAGCCTTGCCTCTGTTACACCTTTTACCGCAATTTTTTTTGCCCTGAATTCATAACCCCAAAATATAAGACAACAAAATCATAATAACAAAAAAATTAACAAAACAATTGACTTGATTCTTGGGAAACACATTTGGAACTTCATGTCCATGTGAAACATTTTTGTTGGTAGCACCCGGTTTACATTTAGGCAACTTGAAACCTGTCTCTGCCCATGACTTGTTCCTACTTCCCTTAGGCCGACCCCGTGGCCTCTTCAAAGTCTTTGGATCCTTCACAATATTGGTGTTGTTGGACTGAAAACCTACCTCCATCACCGAAGGGAAATATGATCCCGCAGCCTCATCCCTATTACGAAAGCTGATGTACGAGTACTACCATGTTGTTTCTGTTGACTGTTAGATCCAATTTCAAAAGGTGGAGGTAATTCCGAACAGTCAATTAATTGTCTGTTCCTAAACTTCTCCCTGCTTTCCTTGACATCAATTTTTAACTTAGCTAAATTGTTCATAACAATATTAACTGTTGCATCATTGGTTGTAGCTGCATCATCAAACACGGCCTCATACTCAGACAACATCAAGTTGAACATCTTCACTTCAATACTTTTGGTGGGATCATGATATGGCACTACGACCCGGACATGCTTCCTTGGAAAGTCTTTCCTCCACCGATCAAGGATGTACTTCTTAGGCAAATCATTACGTAATTTTGATCAAGTACACGAATGCAGTGTTTGCAAAGGATGCCAAATGTTTCAAACTTACAACAGTCACATTTTAATTCTTTTGTGACAGAATTAAATGTCACAGAGTACATCCTTCTCATCTCCATCAGTTTTTCCTCGCTACAACCTTCCGGAACAATCCAGACCCTATCCTCCATCACATACTCCCAATTAGTTTCATCTAATTGTCGATGAAAGTGATGAACAACGTACAACATGCGTGCGCACTCCTGTTGCACTTCTTGAAATTTTGCATCGGTATAAAGTTTTTAGAATAACTTTTCAACCCTGAAACCACTTACTAGCCTTCTCACATACTTCATCCCCTTGTCATCTGCAATTGTTTAATCTTCAACACGCTTCTCCAAAGCTTTGCAATACTGTTGTGGAAATTTAAATAATTTGGTTTTCCTTGTAACAAATCCATCACAAAAACTGTTAATGCTAAAAAATACTCTTTCATGAAGGCTGGCACCCACATGTGTCTCTCATCATACAACCCCTCCAACCAATCATTTCCTTCAAGGTCATACTCCTTCATTAAAAAACACCAACTACTTTCAAACTCTTCCGCCATAAAGCTCTTGTATATGACGACCTTCAAGGGATTTTTGAAGTCGTTGTATCTGCTCAAACATTACAAATATTATGTAAAACCATAACATCATTGGAATAGATCTATATCTATGCTCTATGTTTATTTATTTTCGATTTTTAGATTTCAAGACATGTTAGATGAAGTTCTAGATTACCCTCAACAAAAAATCTATTTCTTTCTAACCCATATCTAGTGACTATTAGAATATATCTAGTGCCTATCAGAATATATCTAGTGACATAAATTTGTTCCTGAGTCTACTCACTCGAATTTCAGTTGTAAAATGAAACAACACCAATTCAATGAGATGGTGACCCTAGATTTGCAGTATAAAAATTCATAAAATAGAAAAGGAAATACAAAAGTAGTCACTATGGTTAGTAGTTCATTAGTTCATTAATATATCAAAAAATAAACACCTCACACTGCAAGCAATATGGAAGACAAAAGCTATCACTTTCATAGTCTTCTAGAACATCATGCTAGAACATAAGAGATAACACATAAGCATTCTCAACAAAAAATAAATTTCTTTCTAGTTCATTTATGTGTACTTAAAAAAGAAAACTGTCAGATGCATGTTCTTTATTTATGTATTATGACAAGTTCAATTCTATCAAGTTTAATAATGAGCATACAACTATAGCAAACACCTTAAAAAAATTAAACTCTAAGTCACAACTATAGCAAAAAATGAACCTAAGAGCTCTCACAACAGACATTACAAACAATAAAGTTACCAGCAGCCATATAGGGATAAGCAATTTATAACTAAACTAATAAACATTTAAACATACACAAACAATGATTAGTGAACAAATTACAACTCAAGCTTACCAAGTTTCTCTGACAGTTTCTTCATAATATGCCAAATGCACCATCTGTGCCTAGAATCGGGCATAACTTCAGACAATGCTCTACGCGTTGCAGGTGCTTGATCAGTGAGTATTGCCCGGGGAGGTTTGTTGTTCATGGCCAACAACCACTGCTCAAACACCCATATATAAGTCTCTACAATTTCATGAGAGACAAGAGAACATCCAAGGAGGATGGATTGGCCGTGATGGTTGACCCCACAAAATTAGCAAATGGCAACTCGTACTCGTTCGTCAAATACGTTGCATCAAAACACACCACATCACCAAATTCCTCATAAGCAACATGGCTATGAGCATCAACCCACATAACGTCTTTCAATTGACCTTCTTCATCTAACCGAATAGCATGATAAAAATTTTTGTTGTCCCGTTGCATGTATTCAAAATACCTCATCATGGCGGCATCATCTCCACCTTGCATTTTAAGCCTCCTCTCCTTGTACACCTCATGTTTGAGGTCCTTAACACTTGGCATGTTTTCAACACCGCCTTTATCCACATCTAAGCAACCATGGATCTTTTTAATAGGAACCCCTTCTCCAAAATAATTTACTAACCTCCTCTTCACTGTAGCGGTGTACTTCTTCATACGGTATTCTTTGGCTAATTTAGACAAATCAGGGTATCATGCACATGATTCAACTCAACCTTTCTGACCTCCCAAGAACCTTCTGCAGTAACACCAGAATATAACATTGCAAGGTAAAAGCATTTCTTGGACTTCCTTTTCCCACGGGCAAGCTCATCCTCACCAATTACACCATTCACAACACCTCCAGTTTCACCCTCACCCATGGCCTTCGCTTGTTTGTTTGCTTCCCTTCTGGCCCTGAGGTTAGGTGGACCCCAACACTCACACCTCCAAGTAAAACAAAGCTTTACATTCTTGTCTTTCTTGGACGAAGACCACTGACACCTAGTCACCCCAAAACCTACTTGTTCAGCATACTCTTTATAATACATTTCAATATCTTCCCAGTTTTTGAAAATCATACCTACCTTCGGAGGCTTTAACACAAAGACACCCCTATTACTTGAATGTATGGTGTCAATTGTATGAACAATACCAATGGGTGGTGACATGAGAGCAGTGCAAGTTTCTACAGAATCTGGAACCAGTGAAGTTCCACTCAAGGGAGTAATGCATTTATTTTCAACAATCAGAACCAATGGGGATGTATTAGGACTGCTGCAAAAGTCATTTTGCATAAAGGCAATAGAATCAATCAATTCACCATCAATTGCATCCATTTTACCCTACATTCACAAATTGAAAACCATAACTAACCCAGAAACAATATCAAAACCACACTGCAACAATTGCAGACCAAATAGCAATTGCATCCAAACAAAGTTAAACTCAAGCACACTAAAATGGAGTGCAAAATCAAACACAAATTCAATGCAAACTCAACTAATTGATACAACAAAATGGAGTGCAGGATCAAACAAAATTTAAATGCAAGTTAAGCTAATTAATACAACCGAACCCAATTCAGACCAAAATTCATAGCAAACTAAAGCAAACTCCAACCAAAAGCAAACCAAACCAAACTCCAGCCGAAATCACCATCAATTTAGCGATTAATCAACCAAAGAACCCCAAAATCAGAAATTTAAAACTTCAATCCAACAATTACACGCAAATATGTCCGAAAAAATTATAAAAAAAATTAAAATTTTGCGGCTACCAGAGAACATTCAGCAATTACGCACCTAAAACTAAGCCGTGAATAGACGACCAGAGGACATTCGTTGATCATTAAGCTAATTGAAACACCAGAACTACGACCGTTGTCGACCTACTGTGTGTTATGACTGTTATCCACCTTTTTGTTTTCGCTGTCTTCGTCACTTAACCCTTCAAACGTTCAAAATAACGTCGTTACAAAAATAATTGTACATTCCCACTTTCCAACTCACCTGGGCTAATTAAAAAAACAAATTTAATTGCAAAAGCAATGCATTTATTTACGCTTAATGCCATTTGAGTTGAATTTAAAGTTACTCATGATGAGTAACGTGGGCTCTCTCCAAAAGTATACATATTCACATAGGATAAATTAGTTGAAATAAATGGAATATTAGATTTAATTTTAATACTCCGTACTATATAAACATCATAACTTTTTTTTTATTTTTTTTCCGAGGGGGAGTAAACAAATTACTCATTAATCAAAGCATCCATGAGTACAAATGAAGCTACATTAGGGGGAGTACAATTTCCCCAAATCTGCTCTACACCAAATGGAAGTACTCTATCCAAGATGTGAGCAACCATGTTTCCATCGCGTTTGACGTGTTGCCATTGAAGACTAGAGAACAGGGAACTCTAGTACATAGCATCACAAAGAACAAAATCAAGATCAGTATTAAACGCAGCCCCCTGTGACAACTTGTTGATAATCAGCTGGCAGTCCGATTCAATAACCACTCTATCACAGCCATACTTATATTACGCCCCACCCTGAGAGACATAACGATAGCTTTCGCTTCAGCAATTTCAACCTGCCACCATGCCCTTACTCGCCTAGTTGCAGCAAACACCACTTCACACTTCGAATTGCGTGCTACAATGCCTAATCCCACCCAACCCTCTTCTCCCAGGGACGTGTTTGTGTTAATTTTAATAGTTCCAGCAGGGGGGGAGACCAACTTGCAGGGCTAGGTTGATGAGTGCTAGCAGGGGACTTGTAGATAGCATTGGCATATTTGTTCGTTTCCTCAGCCAATCTCAAAACTCGAGTAATGAGAATGTTGTTTGGAGTGCTGGAGTTTTGGAAAACCTTGAGATTACGGTCCTGTCAAATTCCCCACATGAGGTACACTCCACGCACCAACATATCAGCTTGCATTCCCTTCCATTGTTCAATTAAATCGCAAGCTCCCTCAGAGGACTCGTGTTTAACCATTTCACCACAGTCTAGATCATACCAAAGCTCTCTAACTCGTTCACACTCGAAAAAAGCATTCCTTCAGCTTTCAGTCTATTTATTACACCAGGGACATAAGTCACAATCAGTGAGATGGTGATACTTCAGAATTTCTTGCACAGGTAAATTCTCCGTGCAAAATCGCCATAAGAAATTGCGAGTTTTTGGGAAGACGTTCATTTTCCAGATTTTGACCCAAGCATGATGGAAATCATCCAAATTACATTCCTTACCAATCAAGTAAGCTGAACTTACAGAGTATAAGCCATTTTTGGAGAAAGCCCAAGCAAGTTCATCTCGAGGCAATCTCGATGAACTTAAGGGAATGGCTAGAATACAGCGAGTGTCCCTCTCATTGAACGCATCACGAAGCGAATTATAATTCCACTCCATTCTTTCAAAACATATCAGATCACTCACCTTAGTCATCTCATTTGTGGGAGTGCTTGTTGCAAAACAACCACTATCATCCAAAAGCCAAGGGTCCGACCAAATATTGATGTTACCACCATTGCCTACTCTCCAAAAAACCCCTTCCTTTAGCAGCAATTTCGAACCCCAAATAGTTCTCCATGAGAAGCTCCCACCATAGCCTAGATAAGACTCCAAGAAATCGGAGTTTGGGTAGTACTAAGCCTTCTTACTTGGCTAAGAAGAGAGTCCGGCTTTGTTGCTAGTCTCCAAGCTTGTCCACCTAGGAGTGCATCATTAAAGACTAACAAGTCTCTAAAACCCATCCCTCCATGACATTTTAAGGTGCAAAGAGAATCCCAACTCTTCCAGTGTATACGCCTTTTATGCTCACTTTGTCCCACCAAAAATTTTCCATGGCCGAATGCATCTTTCTAATTACTTCACAAGGATATTTGTAAACACCCATGAGATAGGTTGGAATGGCTTGAATAACCAATTTTACAGAATTTCCTTCCCGGCTTGTGATAAGAGTTTTTCTTTCCAACCCTGCAACTTCTTCCATATACGATCAGTAATGGCCTTAAAAACACTTCTATTCGATCTTCCCAAAATATTCGGAATGCCAAGATATTTATCATGCCGGTCAACTTGCTCCATACTCGGAATAATTAGAATTTCCTCTTTCTGCTCTGCTCCAACCCCTCTACTAAAGGACACTTCCGACTTATCATAATTGATTTTTTGCCCGGATGCTACTTCATACTGGTTGAGAATATCAACAATTATTTCGCATTCCTTCCAGTTTGCCCTGGTAAAGAGGAGATTGTCGTCTGCAAAAAGAAGATGAGAAACTTTTGGGCCACTCTAACTTGCTTTAGCCCCATGAATTTCCCCAGCATTTGCTTTATTCTGAATCAACTGCGAAAAAGTGTTAGCCCCAATAATAAATAAATAAGGAGAAAGAGGATCTCCTTGACGTAACCCTCCAGAAGGGGTTACTAAGCCACATACCCCTCCATTAATAATGAAAGAGTATTTAACAGACGAAACTACTTCAATCACCTATTCAGCCATCTGCCATCAAACCCCATTTTAAGTAAAAGTTGTCTTAGAAAACCCCACTCTACTCTATCATAGGCCTTACTCATATCCAATTTCATGGCAATGTGGCCCTTTCAGCCTCGACTTTTCTTTTTCATCGTGTGGAATAATTTTAGAGCAATTAGAGCATTATCAATAATTAGTCTCCCAGGCACAAAAGCACTCTAGTTTTTGGAGATAATGTCAAACAAAATACTTTTCAAGCGAATAACCAGACTCTTAGAGATAAGCTTATATAGCACATTACAGAGACTAATAGGACGAAACTTGGCAGCAATTTTGGTTCTTTGACTTTCGGAATAAGAGCAATATTAGTGTTATTTAAATTTTCCGGAATAGAACCTCCATTCAAAATATTAGTAACAAAAGTAGCCACATCATCGCCAATAATATGCCAAAAAAGTTGATAAAAAATAGCATGCATACCATCTGGGCCAGGCGTCTTGCTAGGATGCATTTGCTTAAGAACGGTGAACACATCATCTTTGGTATAAGGTCGTGTGAGCTTGCGGTTCATATCACATGTGACTCACTTTTGCACTTTGTCTAGCACTGAGCTGATGTCTTGAGTGGATGGGTTTTCCGAAGTATATATGCCCCTGAAGTAAGCCCCTATGACCTCCTCAATCTCCTCCTCCTCTTCCTTTCACATTGCATTTTTATCCCACAAACCCACAATATGATTTCTCCGTTGCCTCTGTAAAGCTTTGTGGTGAAAATATTTGGTGTTCTTGTCTCCATCTCGAACCTTAGCCACCCTCAATCTCAAGTGCCAATAGGCCTCGTATTTTTCATTTAAATAAACAAGAAGACTCTCAAGGTCGGAGCATTCCTTGCAGCTATCGTCACTGATGGGACGACCTTGAGCAATTAAGAGAGCGGCTTCAACTGCTACAATTTGTTTACCAAGTTTATCAAAGGCCACCTCACTCCATTGCCTCAATTTAAGGCTCACTGCTGCTATCTTATGAGCTGCATTCCCCCTAACCGTACCACTCCAGGCTTCTTTCACAATCACTTCGCACCTCTCGTCTAATAACTAGCAAGTTTCAAACTTGAAATCTTTTTTTTTCTTCTTTTTATTAGGAGCACAAGAATTATAAACATCATAATTTTGTAAGAAGCATATCCCATAAAAAACAATTACGATTCTTACAAAGCATATAATCTAATCAAACGAAGAACAAGCCTAAATTCCTAACACACCCCATACCAATGGCGGATCCAGGGGGTACATAGAGTTACAATTGTACCCCCATTCTGAAAAGAAAAAAAAAAAGAAAACCTGTTTAGAAAAGAGACCCGATTTATGAAATAGGCGGTCTCTAACATATGAACTGAAATTTTGTCTGACAGTGATAGGCTGACATAATCTAGAAGAGAGCAGCTAAAACACGTAATTAAAGAGACCAGTTAGGCCCTAGGAAAAGTTTCCTATTATAGTGGATTTTGTTTGAAAGTCCCGAGAAGGGCCGATGTTTTACTTCCAGTTAGGCCCTGGAAGATTTCCTCGTAAAATCTGCTTTGCACTCTTTAAGTTCCTAACTATAACTGTTTTATATTCCGCAAAAATTAGGCACTAGGAACTTACTACAATTCACCCCCCTCTTGTAGTATACCATCTGAAATAACAATTGGTATCAGAGCCAGTGCTCTTGATAAACCGGGCAACCCCCAGGAGCAAGTTCTAGGCTAGGATGGATACCTGCAAGGAATGCAGGGAATGGAACTCAACCCTAGTTCCCAATACCACGTGAAAGACCAAAGTTTGCTTGTGAAGAAGAAGTGATCCAAAGAACATTTTTAAGGTAAGTGTCTCATTTTTCAATTCTTGGTTATATGCATGTTATTATGTGTACAAGTACCTTGCAGTATTTCTAGTTAAATTTTGGATTTTGTTTTGATAGTTTTTTAAATCAATTTTGTGTAACCTCAAATTTGATTTATAGTGTGAAATTTTTTTTTTAGATTTACAAATTGATTTAGTTCAAGAAACATATTGTTTAGAATATGCATATTTAGTCTCTTGGAACCTGAATTACCCCTGAATGGAAACTTACTTCTTTTGGCAAGGTAATGAACGCATATTTTGAATATTTGCCAAAGAATGACCTTATCATATGTATGTCTTTATTATTCTGAATATTTATTATGTAGACACATGATGTTTATTGTTAGTAAAGATAGATGGTTTAACTGTAGTTAGTTTAATTATGGATTATTGACGTCTATTACTAACATGAAGGCACCCAATATATATTAGGTAACCAAAGCCAACAGACGACTGATTTTGCAGGCTATGTGAGTGGAGACAACTTATTAATAACGATGATCTTTGGTTGTTTGTATATAAGGAATTATGTGCAAGTTCCTCACACTAAAGAGCCTTTATAAGAGGTTTTTAATAGGTTAAGCGCTAACATGGATAAGTGTATAAGTCGCCTATACATCTCTCTGTAAATAATGGTCATTTGCTTTTGGTATGTATTAATCCTTCACAAATTCCTATTGAACTTCAACTCCATATTTCTAAGGTGGTATTTGTGAATGGATGTAAAAGAGAAGTTGTTTTAAAGCTTATAATATATATCATGACAAACTAACTTCTCTTCTAGTTTTGTGCAAGTTATTACTGATTGTGTAGGTTTGTCCATATAGATAAATCGGGGCATAAAAGTTTGTTCCTTTAGGAACTCAATGCTGAAAGGATTTGGAACTTGGTGAACTTGAAATGATAAAATGGACTAGGGATATAGAAATAAAAAAGCTTCTATATCAAGGTGCTATAGGAGTTAATGTATAAGTTTATGTTCAGTTTCTTGGTCAAGTTCCAGTCAAGTTCCTATAGTTCAAAGTTCCTTGGAATAAAGCATTAATTCCTGTAGCAGACTCTTATGAAGGATGATGAGTTAAGATGATTATATATCTTTGAGTGCGTGTTGAAGATTCATAATTTCGTTGATGGAACAACATCCAAAAGGGAGTATTCTTACAAGAACTCTATGTTTCAATACTTTTATGCTTTAGGTTTTATCTATCTCTTTTGACTAACCTACTGACATTTTAATGGCACAAAGGTATATCTTTTGAATGATAATATGAGGGAATTTGACAAGGTGAAATCAACACATTCCTCTACCCAAGAAACAATGGTCTAAAGGACCAAAAAGACATGTTCCAACTTTATGTCAAAAGGAATATGGAGAGTTGAAGATTTACAGTAGGAAGGAACTCGTAGTATCTCGACAGCGAGGTTCCAAAGAGATTATGATATCCAAATTAAGATATCTCTTATTATAAACCTACAATGGAAGAACTATAACTTATAAGACTAACGCGAAAGGTAAAATTCTACATAACAGGAAGTTAGTAAGTCAAGTTCCTATCCCATTGTGAATATTTTCTTGTCGAGTTTTTAATGCACATTATGGTTTTCAAATGCTTTTAACTCTAGTTGTTTCATGGCTTCAAGATGACATCATCAATAAAGAGTGAAAATGTCACATATGAAGGGAATTAAATAAGGAACACATCAGTTGTGGATATCAAGTTGATTCCTAACAACAACCTAACATTTCTAGGTTTTATTGAAGATGAAATACTTCTATGCTTCAAATTGTTAACATGTTAATCTTTTCATGCTTGATAAACCTGGTAGGAACTCGATAATAGGTATATGTATATGTAAGTTCAAATCAGGTGAAGATCGAGAAGCATGAGAATCAAAACATGTTATATTCTCTTTCAACATCAGGGAGATGGTAAGCAACACTAATCCATTAGATCTTAGTAATATTTATGGATCTGTTTACCATGTGATATTTTGAGATTAATTAAAAGAGATGTCTTATTTATAAGTTTTGAATGAAAATGGGCAC